TCCTTTGAAACGCAGTGAATATAAACTAACTCGGTACTCTTAAAAGCAGAAGCCACGGAATCCAGACAAGTGTGAAAGCACGCCATGGCTTCATCGCGAAAGCGTGGAATAAATGATGACGTCACGTACGCAGTGATAATATAAGCCTAAACCAGATGCATCATGGGATACTATTCGATCGTCGTCTGGATATTAAGTTAGTTTTTTCATCTTTTAAAATCGGTAATATGTTTGGTGTAAAAGACCCTATCCCTCGCGGGCTCCGTGCACGTGTGGTTTACAAGTCTTTGTACGCGAGCTGTAATGACTGCTATATCGGCGAAACCTTTCGGCATTTTTCCACCTCACGCGTGCGTGAGCACCTGGTCAGTGATGGGACCTCTCACATCTTTAGACATTTTGTACAAAATTCTCAGTAATGCCGCATTTTATGTGCTAATGATTATTTTAGCATCTTAGGTCACACTTCAACCAACTTCTAAAGTAAGATCAAAGAAGCTATTCGTATTCAATGGGAGCAACCTACATTAAATCATTAACTTTATCTTGTAAATTTCAAACTTTCTTTGTAACTGTATACATTTTCATGTTTCCTTTTGTCGTTATGTCCCATTAGCATTCTGTGTGCACTTTAAATTCAACTTTGTACTTTGTGTAAATTAGAACTGAAGATTACAGAAGAACTGTCAAAACATGTTTTTTAAAATCAAAAAGGTTGTGTATTTTCGTTAAATGATAAGTTCTTGATTCACCCAAGTGGTCTAAAATACTAAACGCATGTCAATGGCAACAAAGGAGTATCTTTTCCTTGCTCAGCTGCATTAAATGTGCTTCAAAAAATTGTAATGTCACCAAAAACGAATTTAGGTCTTTTCTAAAGATTGACGTCGGTAAAAAGACACGGCTACCTCAGTTGCTACTCAACAACACCTGTGTTAACGTATCTCCAAAGGCGGCCGTTGACAGGTAGCAAATGCTCTCTTTCCTCATCGCTGCCGTCGTCAGATTCCATCGCATTCGGGCAACTTTGATCAGAATTTTCACCACTGTTATTGTTACTACCATTTCCGCGGCCTTCATTTTTGCCAAGAAAACGATAAACTATACCAGCTAGCAAAGTCACAAGAACACATGTATTTATGACCATCACCAGCCAAACGAAAATGTTAGCATAGGTGCTGTCCAGTGCTGAAAACCTCAACACCATAAAAGACATGGACAACACGAGTAAAACCAAGGGTTCAAAAACATTCTCACGGAAAATGCGTTCCAAGATAATTTTTTTGTTGGTCTCGTGCTCGCTCGGATCGCATCTGTTTATGGAGCCTTTTTCGTCATATGGCTGGAGGCACAAGTGGATGATTGCTGACGTCAACAGAACGAGCCACACTACAAATGTTTGCAAGGTGGACGACGAAGAAATCATCGACAAGCCAATGGCAAGGACCAGGCGGCGGAAAAGCATGAGGATCTCGTAGTACTGACGATACTTTGGTTTGTACGACAAATAGACCGGTCCAAGCCACACGTCAAGTTTCTTCTGTTCTTCAGGAGTCATCGAGCTTCTTTTTGGAAAGAAACGAATCATCAGAAAAGTGATAATCAAGGGAAACCCAGTCACGTAGAACACAACGGAGAAAACGCCAAGGGCTTTCAGTTTGTTGTGCATGTGCGAAGTGCATTCTATCCAAGGAAAGTTGGGCATGTATCGAACATCCTGATCACTGTGACATGGGCGTAGAATGGAGAGGGTCTGCTTCACGATTGGAAAGTAGCTGAAGCTGAGACAAAAGAAGGCGATTTGGCGACACTTAAAATGAACAAGTTGCATTCTCCTTTCAGCGGGACGAAATCTGTTGTAAATCAGCATCATGGTGAAATACACACCCACCATGGTCAAGCACACCACGGGAAGTAGGAGAAGAAATGCAAACTTTCCTACTGGAGTAAAAAGAGAGGGCAGGTCACATGAAAGAGAGGGAAAGTACAGATTCCAATAGCTGCTCAGGTAGCTTTGAGCCTTAATAACCCTTTTAGGCCACACGTTGACACTGGATACCATGAAATCCATGGTTTGGATGTAAAAGACCGTTATGCTGATTAGAGAGCGAGCAGCCTTCCCTCTCTTACTAATACATAACACGAAAACGACCAGGTTTAGTTTGAAAAGCCACGCAGGTAATAACTCCAAAAGCATCATGATTAGCATGAGTAGAAAATGAACCGCAGTAACAAGGAACCATTTGATTGGTCGAAGATAAAAATGAAAGTACGACCAGAGCAGAGTGAGAAAGGACAAAGCAAAGATAGGAATAAACACGTAATAGTAAGTTAAATCGCCCTTTTTGCATCTAAAGCACAGTCCACCTAGTTTGTAAAATCCTTCTTGACAGCGAGAGCAAAATCTGTCCGTGTTCCCTGGATGGCAAACGCAAGAATGATTGCACGTCGTGATCAGAGATGACAGTGATTGACGGCTTCCAGAGGAGGAATCTGTGTCCTTCGGTGATGTGACCAGTCGACAAGCACAGGAGTCTGTAGGGTTGCATGCAGACGGTACTGGGCATTTGACCAGGTGGGTGGCATTGCTGGGACCTGGTGATGGCCAGTAGCCACCCGATACCTCCATGATGTTTGAACGCAGATCGTCGGCTGCATTGATGGCACGTCGATGACAAGTCGCACCATTCATACATTCCTTGCACAAACCATTGTCTCCGTAAAAACCTTCATCGCAGACGCAATATTTGTATTCATAAAATGTTGGATCTAAGCGAATGCGACCATTGTTGAAAGTGAGTAGTCCTTCAGGGCAGGTAAAGTTGTCTGGTTGAAATGGTTTGATCATAGTCGAAAAGTCAGGATTAAAGACGTTGGACGAAGCGCCTGTCCCATCTCGCATAGAGGGATTTCCAGATATGTCTAGATATTGGAGAGAAACCATGTTTTGAATTCCTGCTGGCAGGCTACCTGTCAAGTTATTCGAGGAGACGTCGAAGTACGTCAAAAACGAAAAATCTTCAAAAAAAACAGGTAAAGTACCATAAAAATTGTTACCACTTAAATCACATGTGGAAACTTTTTTCATGTACAGCACGTTTGCGAGTACAGGACTTGTTATGTCGCAAAAGCTTAGATTTAGAATTGAGGGACTATCAACAAAGTCTACTTTCCTTGTAAAAAGTTCGACGAAGCTTGTAAAATTAATTGCCAATTTTCGATTCCCTGCCAGAGAGATGTAAGACCCAATATTAGCACGAGCTGTATCTGGCCATGGTTTTCCTTCGTTGATTGATACAAACTCGTTTTGTGACAAATTGATCATGTCGGCTTTCTCCAGCAGCACATCGCCTGGAATATCCCCTGTTAGTTGATTATTGGCAAGATTTAATATACTTGGAAAATTTTTCTTTGGCATTTCCCCAGAAATGTTGTTTCCAGGTAAAACTAGGTAGTTTAGTCTTTCCGGCAATACACGAGGCAACTTTCCGGCTAGTTTAACTCCAGATATAAACAAATCTGTTATAGAGGGTATTGCGAATATGTCGCTGAGGTCTCCATGGATCTGGCCAGGAGTCACTCGAAGGTCCAAATACCACAGCTTTTTCAACCTAGAAATACTCTTTGGTATTTGGCCAGTTAGATTGTTTCCTCCAAGACAAAGCACTCGTAATTCAGTCATGTTTCCAATATCCTGTGGTAAGTGACCAGTGAAGCCATCACCGTTCATAACGCAGCCCAGGAAGTTTCGCAGATTTTTCATTTTTACAATCTCGTCAGGAATATTCCCAGTAATAGAAGCGGCATTGAACACAACGGTCAACAGATTGGTCATATTAGCAAACAGAAAGTCGCCAATGCGTCCTCGAAGAGAAGGGTTCCCTGGTGTGCAGAGAGAAAATAAGTTTCGGATTTTCCATATGTTAGACGGAAGGAAACCGTTTAGGTTGTTGTAAGCCAAGACGATAGTTTTAATGTGCCCCGTATTTCCGTGACAGGTGATTCCATACCAGGAACAATGGGATGTGTCATTGGTTGAACTAATCCAACCGCGTCTGTCGTACCACTCTTGTCCATTTGTTGAAGCATATATATCTAGTAGAACTTCTCTTTCCTGTTCTGGTGTGAAAGATGTGTCCAAGGTAAACAGTGTAAACTGTTTAACGCGTTTCAAACAGTCGCGTCCCTCAATGCTCAGAAACAAGTTATAATCTGGAAGAAAAGTGACTGTTATTCACGAATGAGACTTAAAATGCTCAGAGTTAATGAATCTTCGAAGGGAATTGGAGGCTATCTCACTGAAATTTGCAAAGTATTCTACATCTAGCAATTACAAGACAATAGTTTCCCATCTCGACTCGAGTGCTTTGCAGGCATGGGAACTGCTAAATGTGGCGTTCATAGTGTTATTATGTTATTCTGGGAAATTATATGATTATTTATGTCCATTTGACCGGTTTACAACAGAGCGAATGCGGACGACCAAATATTCATTCACCGATTAAGGAGGCTCGCATCAGTTTTTGTTGTTTAGAAATCAAAATTTCTTATAGAAGTCAAAGTTTACTTTCTTATTGGTTTCCAAGCAACAGCTGTTATCATAGCGACAGTAACGCGTGGCCGCTCATTAACTTGGATAATAGTTATCACTTTCCAAGTTGTAGTGGTGGAACGATTGCACCCCATAACTCTTTCACACCTTCACTCCTTCACTTCTTCACTCCTTCACTCCTTCACTCCTTCACTCCTTCACTCCTTCACTCC